TCGTGATGTTTCATTTGGGTCAAGTGAACTAACCCGAACACAGCTGCATACTGTACAAAACTGCACACCTCAAGTCATGTTTGTTCAGTGTATTTCTGCTACAAAAATGAGATTTGTTTTCTCCCCTAAAGTACTTTTTTCTCACTTTTATTTCAAAATTCAGTTTTTTTTCCCCCTGAGAACGAGTTTACATTTCATAAATTTGTCTTTTCACCCCTCAGAATTCTTTTTAAATCTAAAAACTTTGAACTTTTACTCAGAATTCTAGATTTACATATAATAGTTACACCTTTTTTCTCAGACTTTGCAAGCCTTTTTCTTTATTTTCATGGAATTATGGGTGTAATTCTTACAATTTCTGAAAACAGTCATCATTTTGTGATAAATACCCACTTATAAATAATGTTTTATGCATTATTTATTTCCATAAGTTGATTGCGTTAAATTTAATTGCATTGATTTGCATAAAAAATATGAAGAACCTCAATAATTTAAATTTTGCTTCATTTAAACCTTCAGTTAAATCAAAGGAAAATCTGACTTTAGGTCATATTATTAAAAAAATACGGTCCCACTTTATATTAAGTTGCCTTAACTAATATGTACTTACAAAGGAATTAATAGTTTGTTACAATGTACTTATTGTGTAAATACATGTATTTACTGTGTACTTATGCTTGATTAAATACCTGTATGTAATTACATCTGTAACTAACTTCTGTAACTACATTTGTAAATACACTGTTGACCATCCCTTACACTTTAACCCACCCTTAAACCTACCCATACCACCAAACCTGTCCATAACCCAACCCCTATCCCAACAAAAGACGACCACAAGTGTTTTCAAATACATTATGAACACAGTAAGTACATTGTATTTATTTTTTGATGCAAGTACATAGTAGTTAAGGACACTTAATATAAAGTGGGACCAAAAATACAATCAGAACTTTGGGGAAAAAGGTTTGTTTTTGACATTGCAAACATTTAACTGGGAGTACAGAAAAATTGATATGATCCTGTAAATGGCAAAAACATGAAAAGTCATGGGTTAGAGATGAGATGGAGACAAAGCAAAATTAAACCAAACAAAGGCAGAATAAAAACAAAGCAAAAAAGTTTTTAAACTATAAATAAAGTGGAAAAACAGCACCAAATTAAAGCAAAAACAAAACAAAACAAAAAATAAGTAAATTAACAAAGTGAAGCACAAAAACAAAATAAAGCCATAAACAAAACAAAACAAAGCAAAAAATGCTTTGAAAAACAAAATAAAGCAAAAACAAAACAAAAAAAAACAAAGCAAAAAATAAAATAAACAAAGTAAAACACAAAAAGAAAAAACTAAAACAAACAAAAAACAAAAAATTTTTTTTTTAAATATAAACAAGATAAATCAAAAACAAAAAGAAAACAAAAAACAAAGCAAAAGGTGAAAAACAAAACAAAGCAAACAATAAAACAAGTAGAGAAAAACAAAAATAAAGCAAAAAAATTAAATAAAGTTAGCAAAAACAAAATAAAGCAAAATCTAAAAATAAAACAAGTTAAAACAAAAACAAAACAAAGCAAAAAACTAAGCAAAAAAAGTGAAAAATAAACAAAACAAAAAATAAAGCAAAAATAAAATAAAAAGTAAAAACAAAAATTGAAGCAAAAAAATAAAATAAAGTTAAAACAAAAACAAAATAAAGCAAAAACAGAACAACAAAAATAAGACAAAAAATAAATGAAAGACAAAAACAAAATAAACCAAACAAAAATCAAAAGTGGAAAAAACATCATAAACAAAGTAAAAAACAAAAAACTAAATTAAAACAAAAACAAAGCAAAAACACATTGAAAAACAAAAATAAAATAAAATTAAGCAAAAGCAAAAACAAAACAAACAAAAAAAAACAAAGCAGAAAAGTAAAATACAAAAACTAAAGTAAAGACAAAACACAAAGCAAAAAAAACTAATTGAAAAACAAAATCTAAATAAAGCAAAAACAAAACAAAAAACAAAGCAAAAAAGTGACAAAAAATAAATAAATAAATAAAGCCAAAACACAAAACAAGTAAACAAAGAAACAAATCTCCAACAACAGGTCAAACACCAGAGAAAATGTTTGATTGCTAAAAACATGATGTTACACAGACAATACAATTAAGCAAACAGGAAGAGAAAATAGCCAGAAGAAGCAAATCCACCTAAAAAAAAAAATCCCACAATGAAATTCATTTAAGCTGGAACATACGTCACCTTCCTTCAGCTGCAGCCAGCATGTCCTGCCTCGTCAGAGGGATGCATTTGGCTGCAGTTACTGTAGGTACAGATGTCCAAAGGCAACAGACTTCTGGTTTACAGAAACTCACCCTAAACCTGGGCACTTTGATAAAGGGGCAGAGTAAAAGAAACTAAAGTGAATTGCATTTTGAATGTACAGGAAGGAACTCAAAAAAAAAAGTTTTCTGACTGGTTTTCATTGCAACCAGTTTCTTTTTCCCCCAGTGTTCAATGTAAATCAAGGATAATTAATTAATTATTAATATTTTTAATGAACAACAATGCATGCATTTGCTGTCATGCATGCATCAATTTTGTACACCTCTGTTGTTGTTTGTTTCATTGGAATTCACATTTGAATTTCATACCAAATTTATTTATTTATTTATTTATTTATTTATTTTCAAAGTGAAAACACATTGGATTGGAATTTAATTAAATGGATTGAAACTTGAGACTTCATTAAATTAATTATTGTCAATTAAATGAATGTAATAATAACAACAATAATAATAATAATAATAATAATAATAATAATAATAATAATAATAATAATAATAATAATAATAATTTTAAAACTAATAATAATAATATTTATAATCATAAAAATAATAATAAAAGCATGCATTTAAAATGTAAATACAGTCTGGCTGCTTTTGTGAAAAAACATTTGTTATTATTTTACTAACTGTTAATCACTTTAGTCAAATTTAATTATTATTATTTTTTAATTCTACATTTTTGTACTGCAAATTTGTTACTCTGATGCCCCAATAAAGGTTTTACTTTCTCTAAATGATCTCCTTTTTCACATACAACAAAAATTGGCATTCCTTCTATGCTTTCATCAGGGTTCAAGGTTCAGAGCAAGAACAAAATCCTCTCTATTTAGAAAAGAAAAAAATCTACAGCTAAAGTTAATTGTTTATCATTAAAAAGTTCCTATTTGTGCTCTGTTTACAACTAGTATTAAAATGGGGTTTTCGTCAATCTAATCACAAATGGATGACGCTAAATAAGTAGTAATGGGGTCTAAAACATGTCGATCACTTCCAGAGATGCTCAAAATATGTAAGTATAGGAATGGCTTATTCATAGGAATGCTCACGTAGCCAAATATGAACAGACAGAAAATTTAACTTGATCCTTCTGAGAGTTGTGACTTTAACTGAATGTGTATTTGCCACGCACATCCTTTCTCACTCATTCGTAAGCAACGTAACATGGCCTAGCTCATTATTGTACTTGTTTACCTTATGTACTATGTAGGAGTGAAAAAGAGGGAATATGGCTTGAAATGTGAACATAGTGTTCATGATACATGGAAGCATTAGGGTGACCACTTGTGATCAGAAAAGTGAAAACCCATGTTAATACCAAACCAAAAAAGGGCTTTAAAGGGACAGTTCACTCAAAAATAAAAATGATACAATCACAAGTTTCGAACCAGCTGGAATGTTGGAAAAAAAACATCTATTGACTTCATTATTATTTTTGGCTGCTTTTTTACCATCATTCTTCAGAATGTCTTGCTTTGTGTTCAATAGAAAGAAAGAAATTCTTAAAGCTTCAATCTGATGAGGAAATGTTAATTTTTGGGTGAACTAACCCTTTAATTGGGTTGCTGGTCGTACTGTGAGCAAATAATCAGAGCATGTTACACCAAAAAATGTAATAAACACCAAAAAACTAAGTAAAAAATGTAAAAATAAAAACAAGATAAATCAAAAACAAAAAAGAAAACAAAAAGCAAAGCAAAAGGTGAAAAACAAAACAAAGCTAACAATAAAACAAGCAGAGAAAAACAAAAATAAAGCAAAAAATTTAATAAAGTTACCAAAAACAAAATAAAGCAAAATCTAAGAATAAAACAAGTTAAAACAACAACAAAATAAAGCAAAAGCAAAAACAAAACAAAGCAAAAAACAAAGCAAAATAAGTGAAAAATAAACAAAACAAAAAATAAAGCAAAAATAAAATAAACAATAAAAAGCAAAAAAATGAAGCAAAAAATTTATAAATAAATAAAGTTAAAACAAAAACAAAATAAAGCAAAAACAGAACAAAGCAAAAAACAAAGCAAAATAAGTGAAAAATAAACAAAACAAAAAATAAAGTAAAAATAAAATAAACAATAAAAAGCAAAAAATAAATAAATAAACAAAGTTAAAAACAGAACAACAAAAAAGAAGACAAAAATAAACAAAATAAAAAACAAAAAACAAAATTAAAACAAAACAAAAACTCATTGAAAAAAAAAGCAAAAAAAAAAAAAAAAGCAGAAAAGTAAAATACAAAAAACTAAAGTAAAAACAATACTAACCCTTTAATTAGGTTGCTGGTCTTACTGTGAGCGAATAATCAGTGCATGTTACACCAAAAAAATGTAATATTCGTTGTACTTGTTGTTTTCATTTCTTTATTTTACGTTTCTTGTATTCTTTTTTTATGTAAAGCACTTGGAATTACCATTGTGTATGAAATGTGCTATATAAATGAATTTGCCTTGCCTTGCCTAAAGAGTTGCATTAAAACACGCTCCACCTCTGAATCATCTGTCTTTTTGTGTGACGTCACCAAGCCCGGACCATTTTTGTAAAGCAAATCAGGCACATTCAAATGCATCAAGGAGGATTGTGATGCAATCCTGAGCTCCCGTCTTCAGTATCTGACTCAATAAGTCAGCCTGAGAGAAAAGATTATTTCAATGCAAAAAAGCAGAGTTTACCTGCGGCGAGAGCTGCTGGCGGCGGCGGTCCAGCCTCTCCTCCGCTTTTCTGACTCATAGCGGCTGCGCTCTGCACTCCAGACGACGGCAGCTGCAGCTCTTTCGGGAGAAGATCATATACTGACTCTGGAGAGAACCAAACAGACAAATCAATTCATTACAGAGTAGGGCTGCACAATATCACCATGTTTCTCAAAAAGCATACTTCTAAAGGTGCCGTTGACTTGAATTTTTTCACCGGATGTTAACAACAACCAAAGAAAGCCATACTGTATATACAAAGAAAACAAATCTAATTAGTTTGTAAATAAGGTTATGTTTAATAAAATGAAATGATACAGGAAAAAAGTATTGAGCACATGAAGAAAGGGAGGTGTGGAAAGGCATGGAAAGCCCAGACAGCAGCTGAAATCTGCGTCTGCCATTTTTCACTGTAAATTAGTATTAGCTGCATGCTTCAGTCCAACACCTACATTACAAGGAGGATGAAGATGAAACCAGGGTGGACATTTCAGTAAGACAATGATCCAAAACACAGCCAAGGAAACTCTCAAATGCTTTCAGAGAAAGAAAATCAAGCTGTAGAATGGCTCAGCCAATCACCTGATTTGAATCCAATAGAGCAGTGGTTCTCAAACTGTGGTACGTGTACCACTAGTGGTACGCAGGCTTCCTTCTAGTGGTACGCAGAGGAATTAAATATGTGATGTACATGCTACACACATTTCAAAATTGACATATATAGCCTATATTTCGGACATATAGCATATAGCAGTGGTTCTCAAACTGTGGTACGTGTACCACTAGTGGTACGCAGGCTTTCTTCTAGTGGTACGCGGAGGAATGAAATATGTCATGTACATGCTACATATATATTCAAAATGTATTAAAAATAATGTATATAATATACCATATGATATATAGCGTATATTTGTGAGGTAATCCGCAACGTTTTTTTTACTTTGCAGAGCTGTAGCTGCTTTACTGGGCCTACTGCGCTACTGTATTTCAATACTGCTAATTTTGGTGGTACTTGGAGAGACAATTTTTTTCTGAGGTGGTACTTGATGAAAAAACTTTGAGAACCACTGGCATATAGCCTATATTTCTGAGGTAATCTGCCACATCTTTTAGCTGTGGAGAGCTGTAACTGCTTTACTTGGCCTACTACGCTACTATATTTCAATATTGCTCATTTTGGTGGTACTTAAAGAGCCAATTTTTTTCTGATGTGGTACTTGATGAAAAAAATTTGAGAACCACTGCAATAGAGAATACAAAGCTTAGATTTGATAGACGAGACCCACAGAACTATCAAGATTTTGACACTCTGTTAAAGTCTGTGAAAAACTCGCACCTGAGCTATTCATGCGACTTCATTCACCTTATGAGAGGCATCTTTAAGCGGCCATCAGCAAAAAAAGCTTTTTATAGTAAGTATTGAATAAATGTAAGTATTTCAGTACTTTCTCCTTGTGTCAGTCCATTGTTATTACACAACAAATTTTTCAGATATTTTTTTTTTCTGTTTGTATTGTTTGGGCTTTTACCAAAATCTAGTTCAATTCCATGTCAAAAGCTCCTCTAGAAACATTTTTCCCAGGCAGAAAAAAACATGACTTGTTCAATATTTATTTCCCCCACTGTATCGATTCAGCATTGATATCGCAATTTGATTATTTGCACAAAATAACATCTCAGGATTTGTAATGTTAAGTCTGGATTATAATTTATCATTCGCGTGTGTTTTTAAAGTCTGAGACAGTGTGAGGATATTAAACACCTTCAAGCCTTAAAAATTGTATTGTTTTTAACTTTAATAACAAATAATTGTGTTGAATTATGTGTAACACGATAACTGTGCAGTATTTTACATTTGATTATTGATTTACTGTACCTGAACACTATCAGACTCGTCGAAAAACCCTAAAAATATTACTTTATTCGTATTTAATTGTATTTATCCAAGGCGAGGCAGTGGCGCAGTAGGTAGTGCTGTCTCCTCACAGCAAGAAGGTTGCTGGTTCGAACCTCGGCTCAGATGGTGTTTCTGTGTGGAGTTTGCATGTTCTCCCTGCGTTCGCGTGGGTTTCCTCCGGGTGCTCCGGTTTCCCCCACAGTCCAAAGACATGCGGTACAGGTGAATTGGGTAGGCTAAATTGTCCATAGTGTATGAGTGTGTGTGTGAATGTGTGTGTGGATGTTTCTCAGAGATGGGTTGCGGCTGGAAGGGCATCCGCTGCGTAAAAACTTGCTGGATAAGTTGGCAGTTCATTCCGCTGTGGCGACCCCGGATTATTAAAGGGACTAAGTGTATTTAACCACACAGCAAATTCATCAGTGTTAAATTCTCAGTGTTAAAGCATTACAGAGTAAAGTGTTGCCTTTATAGAGTTAGAGTGTAAAATTAAGGAGTTACAGGTAACCAACACTTGATGGTGTTATTTCCAACATTCGGGAACTCATTTGACCAAAAATCTTAATAGAAAATAAAAGTCATGCCATTTTTAACATTTATTAAAGTCTTACAAAGTGTAAATTTGTAGAGCTGGCAGTCAAGTGTGAACATGTTTTGTTAATAAAAATGATTCATAACATAATTGTGATATTTTTTTTCTGTCATTCTTGGAGAATTTTCACTTGTAAGTTATTTTGACTATCTATCATGAGTATTGTAAAGTTTACTGGGTAGACTAGAGATAAAATCACTGTAAAAGTGTTAAAATTTTACTCTTTACACTAGAGTTAGAGAGCAATCAACTCCCAGTAGTGTAGACCAGAGTTTTTATTAACTCGATACAGTGTAAGTATAACTCATTTATAGTGTTGGACTCTCTTAAGAGTGTTATTTTAACTCTGAAAATATTCTATATGTAAATTGATTATAACTCTACTAGAGTTGAAATAGCATTGCTATTTTTCAGTGTGTGCTTGTAGATTGTTTATGATATTTGATGCAGATGCACTGCCCTACTGAATTATTCTTATCAATCTAAAAGGATCAATGCTTTCCACATAGAGCTATACAAGTCATTTGGTGAAGTTACATTCATATTGCAATCTACATTGCAATGTTACTTTTTTCCCAATATCTTGCAGCCCTATTAGAGAGTTTCATTAAAACACTTTAGGTCAAAACATGTGCGGGTTTCTTATAGCAGCAACCGAGATATGCGGTGAATTTCCAATATCTCCTTTCAAGTGGATTATCGCCAGGGAGGGGTGATTATCAGCATCACATTTATTTCAGTACTTTTCCATGAGCATAAGCGCCATCTATATCTGCTGCTCTAATTCCAGGTATACGGAGTGTTTCGGAGACTTGACAGCTTTTTTTTACACCTATGGTAAGTGATAAATACCATTTTTGGCATGCCAGAGGCATTAGTCACCACTCTGTGATTGTAGCGGGTTATTTTAACAGAACGTGAACACAATGCCTTCGATCCTCATTCGCTATTCTGGTGAGGACCACTTTGAAAACAAGGCTGCTACAAGGGGACGAAGGATTTGAGAAAGTGACACGTGATTTTTATTATTTTTTTGGACTGATCACAGCAGTTAGGCCTCATCATAAATACACAAAAAAGACAAATAATGAAAATAACTGCTTAGAGCTCCTCTAATTCTCCTTTCTTTAATTTTTTATTCAACTTTATATAAGTCTGAATGAGGATAAAATTCAATCTTAAAAAAATAATGAATCCAAAAAGCCAAAAAGGATAGGGATAGATCACCCTAAAGAGAAAATTCATCATCATTTATTCCAACCCAGGCTCATTCTAAAAATGTACCGATATATAGATTTCTGTAGAGCGCAAAATATGTCTCAGGAGGTACATTTTCTGCAGTTTTATTTTTCACAAATCCACCAGAGGTCGCTGTGTATGCTTTTTCAGATCTCAAATTTCGCTCGTGAGTGCCATTCGCATCACCGTTTTGCTGTTCACGCGTAAATCCACCAGAGGTCTTTGTCGACTGACTGAATGACTGACTGACCGATCGACTGACCCACCCTCCTTCTTCTAAAATCTTAATCAACAGCATTTTTAAAAGCACAGATTGACACGCCCACCCTCTTCTTTAAACCCAACAGACAGTTTTAAAAAGCAATCCAGAAAAATAAAGCCCTTGCCTGATTTTCACCACATTTCCACCCTGTTATTTACTTGTTTATTTTGTTTTTTGGCTTCTGTTTTTGTCTTACCCACTTTCTAGAACAGTTCTTCGCCTGACTCAAACCTCGTCATCCTGATCAACTCCTCTCTGCCTCTCAAGTTCACCGACATATATGGCGAACAACTGGACAAACTGGTCACAGCGGGAAAGTCGTCCATACGGTAAGCAGTCAGCTGGTAAGTACAGCATCATACCGCCCCATAGCGTTCGTTTTAAAGACAAAATGCAGCCTTTACATACTTCTGGCTACATAATTAGCAATCTCCAGAAATGTATACAGGGCTACGTTTTCAGAATGAGCCTATGATGATTTATTCACCTTTTTACACACCCTCATAAGATTATTTTTTTCTGTTAAACACAAAAGAAGTTATTTTGAAAAATGTTGGAAACCGGTAACCATTTGCTTCCAAAGCTTTTGTTTTTTCTACTATGGAAGTCTATGGTTGCCAGTTTCGTTCTCAGATTCGGGACCAGACTCATCTTTTGTCATTTCTGCTCGGAAAATAATTAAAATAAAAATCTGCGGGTTCATGCGTAATGATTTTGGGAGCAACTAATAATTTAAAACATTCATTCATTTTTTTAAATCAGGGATCACCACAGCGGAATGAACCACCAACTTATCCAGCATATGCTTTACGCAGCGGATACCCTTCCAGCCGCAACCCAACACTCGGAAACACGTCTTTGTAATTGTGGGGGACACCGGAGCAACCGGAGGAAACCCAAGCGAACACAGGGAGAACACGCAAACTCCACATAGAAATGCCAACTGACCCAACCAAGGCTCGAACCACCGACCTTCTTGCTGTTAGGTGATCATGCTACCCACTGCACCATTGTTATGTATTTGTGTTATTTGTGCTCTGTTTTCTTTCTCTCTCTCTCTCTCTCTCTCTCTCTCGTCCCATATCTGTTTTCATTATTTTCAGGTTCCATTCATT